ATCACACACACAACACACCCCACAACACCTAGCATCTCCCACACTCCCTGCACACACTGCTAGTCTCCTCGTGCGCTGGTTTTGTGTGCAGGTGCCTGTAGATAGTGTAGACGTGTTTGTATCCAGTGAAATAAAGGTCTATTTTTGCAGATAAGGGGGTGGCTGTTGTTTCCACTGTGGATGTGTACCCCAGGAGTGTGGACAGGAAGACACAGGCTGCATGTGAGCATCAGCCCAGTTCTGGACAGGGATGGGCCTGGTGTCCGAGGTCCCTGCTGAACCAGGCAGAACCGGGCCTGCTGACAAGCGAGTCGGGCCACTGGAACAGCAGGAGCTGCCTCTCCCAGAGTCTTGCAAGATGTTTTCTTTGACTTTATCTCAGGGGGGAAGCAGATCGCTGTGTCCAGGCTTTATCCCCCCTGTCCTGATCTGGGGTTCGAACCCGCGTCTGTATATTTGGCGCAGGGCGAGGGCGATTGGGGGTCACCCCAGGATCCGGGTTTGTAGCTGATGTCTGGGTTTTGGGGCTCAGCCTGGCCCTCTGAGATCAGCTCTATCTCTTTACCCACGAGGCTCAGCAGGCCCATCTCTTCACCCAAGAGTCTCAGCGAGTCCATCTCTACCCACGAGGCTCAGCAGGTCTGTCTTTTTACCCACAAGGCTCAGCGGGTGTCTCTTTACCCATGGGGCTCAGCAGGTCTCTCTGGGTGAACAGTAATAACACTCAGGTTTGGTCCTTTAAAGCCCTGATATATAATAAATCTGAAGCCTGTCACTTCGCTGTGTGACCAATTAAGCAAGTGATTTGTTCAATCACATCCTTAAATTTGATCACTTCGGTCGAAAACCTGAGTGTCCTTAATCCCTCAAAGACTGGAGATCCCTCATCCTAACGAAGAACTTCCTTCCTGACTTCCAAGATCCAAGTCTTTTTTGCCAGCGGGACTTTCCTTGGGCGCTAAGGAGGTGAGGACCGGGGCTGCAATGAGAGTAGCGCGCCCCCTCGTGGCGCCGGTAGGAAACGTCTTCCCGGGTGGTGGCGAGATCTGAAGCGCGCGCCTCGATCATTTTTCCGCCGGATCTCTGAAAGTAAAGTGTTGTCCACTTCTGGATCATTTGGGTGCTCCGTTTCGAAGAGGAGCACCGAGGACGTTTTATGCGCCAGAGTGAACGAAGTAGAAGCCACCCGCAAGCGGAGTAACTACTGCAAAGAGCGGACCCGATCTCTCTGCG